GCTGATTTCTGTGACTTTGTCTAGGGAAGGGGAGAGGGTATGTGAGCACATTTTACTCTTTTTATTTTTTTTCTACTTGAAGTGCTCTTAAGCAAAGGAATTTCTGGCTACTTCAGCTTTGGGTAGGAAAGGTCTAGGCTTTTGAAACTACATCTGTGTTTGCAAAGAGAGGCAGAAAGCTGTTAGTGGCACTCTTCATCAGTTTTGGACTGCATAAATTGGTAGAAATACTCATTTTAGTGCCAAGTCTAAGGGACTCCAGGGAAACAAACAGGGCAGACCTAAGCAGTGTTTAAAAAGCGTATGAGACTTGACTTAGCTTTCCAGTTAAGAATTAATTGAACCTTTTCAAAACCCTTGCCCAATCTAAATAAAATGCAGTGTCTAGCTGTTTACCCAGACGTGCTCTGCCTAAAAGAGTAAAAAAATCATTGTCCATGATCATCTACCACAAAAATAAAGAGGAAGTGTTAGAACTTGTAGTATGGAAACAATTATTTGGAGTTAATTGCTGAAGTGATTCTTTGAAGAGGAGAAAGTTAATGCTTGTAGGAGTTAGTGTTGTGTGTGTGCATGCATTATGGATATTTGGTGGTGGTGGTTTTGTTATTCTCAGTCTGATACAGGGGTGCATAGTCTGGTTTGGAAGGTGCACTGTCACCTTTAAGAACTTCACAGGGTGTCTGACATCTAACCTGCTCCCAAGTTATTTGAAATAATTTGTTTATAATGCACAAAATCCGCAATGAACTGAAGGTATTTAATTTTTAGTGAGGTCACTCAGAGGATAATGTATTGCTGCAAAACTGGTTTGTTTGTAAACAAATGTTCTCTTTTCTGATACTTGGTGTGGAATAAAGGACATCTGAATAACTTGCAGAGCTGCAGATGTTTAACTTCGTAATGAGGCCACGATAAAGCTAGTAGAGCCTATTTTTTTGGACACAACTACACGTATGCTGAAGTAAAATTCTGATTCTTCAGAAGTTAATGGTGAATTTAGAGAGCTAGTTCAAGCTAAAAGGTCTGAGGGCTCAGTAAATCTCTGCTGATGTGTGACTTGCTTCTGTATAGCTAAGTAGGAACCGGATTGTCTTTAAATGAATTCCTGCAAACTTTCATCTTTTTCTTCAGTATAAATTCTCATTCTGAACTATATTCTCTTGGGGTGGAAAATAGGTACATCCATTCTAGTACAAGATGGATTTGCATACTTGGATACCTTAAAAAGATCAGACAGATGCACCAGAAACAGTTGTTCCTCCCTTAAAAGAGAGCTGAAGATGATTGTCTCAAGTGTGAGTGTTAACAGAATAAGTGAGATGAATCTCACTCATTTTGTTTAAGACAATCTGGAGGAGGAAACTTAATATTTTTATTTGGTCTATGTCAACCATACTTGTTGAGGGGATTAATATTTTTATTTGGTCTATGTCAACAATGCTTGTTGAGGGGCAAGAGCTCTAAATAAAAGGATGGTTTGACAAAGTGTTAGTGCATTCTCACACTGTTGTAGCCTGTCCTACCTCCTAGGGACGGTGTCTGTCTCTGGCTGCTGTAGATTGTGACAAATAATTCTATCTCCTATGAGGACTCTAGATACAGAAGTAAATACAGTGTTACTGTCTGAATACTTGGAGAAGACTGGGCAGGTGTATTAAGGTCTGAGGTGTGACTGGGCATAGAGATCATCTGGACCTATATGAGTAAGTTCTGCCCATTTAATGTGTACTGTCCCATAAAGCCCCTAATGAAGACTGTCATGTGTGCTTCAGTGCCAGTCACGTAGGAAGTGCATGATGGATCACTGGTTATTTCTATATTCAGTTATGATTTGTGTAGTACAAAAATATAATTCTTGCAGGTGTACAGCTTATTTGGTAACAACAGCTTTTCCACCCTTCATCTGAGTGGCAATTTATTTGTCATGTAAAGAGGCATCCAAAAACAAGACAATGCTTCAGAACGAGGTTGGTAGGGAGAAAAAAGGATTACTTTTTTTTCCCCTGCTGCTATTCATGAGCTCAATTTCCTTCTGTCTTCAGGATGAGCAGTTTTTGCTGAATAATAACTCATAGGAGTTCTGGCTTGAGGTCACTGGCAGATTTAACCATGATAATGGCTACATCAAATAGCTTTAGGTTGATTGTGATCAGACAGTTTAATGCCACTTAATTTCTTTGGAAATTTTTCCTCTAAATGACTTATAATGGTTTGAAAAAATGGCTTGGTTGCTCTGCATGTCTGAGGCTTTAAATTGTAGAGACTTTTTCTGAGAAGATGACATGTCCAGCCACAGCAGCGGTGTATGTTTGAGCATTCATTTCAAGCTGTGACCACTCAGTTTAATACCTACTGGAATTTTTTGCAGCTTGCTCTGTAATCATAAAGAAAAAACCCATGTAGTGGTATGTGTTTTTAGGAAGGACTCCTGGCTGTATGGACTATATTTATTTATTTCTATACAGGTGAAGACATGTTCCTACAGTGAGGCTTTTTAACAAAAGAGCTATTGTTTGCCAAACTAGATGAAGTATATTAAAGGGACCTTACTTCTCATTAAATATGAGTGGAAATAAACTTGCTGATTCTGTACCAGTGAAAACAAGTTTGAGCTGGTGACAATCCTGCATCTAGGAGTAGATCTTAGAGCTGTCTGTACTTGAAGAGAAGGGAAAAAATTCCTATAAAGTGGGGGAGCAAAGAGAAATGACTGAAATTAACCTTTATATTTTTGAGTAAATATATGCAATGGCATGGCAAATAGCATAGTACTAGTGGTTTGTCAAGAAGGTTTAAAAAATTAATGGTGGCATAACAATGATAAAGTATTTAAATGTGTCTATGTTGTTTCTGTCAGCAAACAAATGAAAGAGATGGAGAAGTCGGGATTCCTGAAAGGAGCTTTGAGTGCGGAACAGCAATTGGCTCTCATTAGCGTTTGTACAGACCTGAAGGCAGCAGTAGAGGGTGCTACTTTCATTCAGGTAAGCAAAGATTTGCCAACTCTTAGCAAACAGTTTAGAAAGATGAGCAAAAGCTGTGCTGTGCAGTAGTTGGGCACTGGAGAGTTCAACATCCTGACCCCAGGAGGATATAGTTGTGCTTGTTAAAATTCAAGTTCTTTCTTGCCTAGTGTCCTGACATGGGAGATCATGCCTCTTTGCAAGACTTCCTACTTGAGAGTCCTTGCAAGTTTATTCTGGGTTATCCTGGGAAAGGCTGGCAGCTAAGCTGAGAGGGAATTCCTGACCTTCATGCATTACAAAGACTGTACCTATTAGAATGTGAAGATGAATGTGAAGTGAAGTTGGGAGAAAGATTATATCTTAGGGAACACCAACCATTCTAGAGCTGGGTCTAAAATGTGTTTCTTCCTCTCCAGGTACTAGTGAAGGCAGGGAGTATGACTATGTCCAGGGTGACTTCTGTTCTGACTGTGAGGGAGTGCTGTAGCCAAACCCAGCTATCCCAGCATGTTAGAGTATTGAAAACAGGGTTGATACGTAGGTTTGGAATCTGTGCTGCTAAATAAAATTCTAATGTGGAACAAGATGAACTGCTAGACCTGATGGTTTGTGGCTGCTGAGGTCTTATAATGCTCCCTGCCTTAGACATGGCTCAGGGAACAGGTGAATGTGGGACCATTTCTGAGATAAAGTATGAATGAGATTTCATTAGGATTAGCATCTTCTACCCTACATGGTCTGCCAGGATTGTTCCAATGTTGTACCATTAGCTGTCTCTACATGTGTGTGTGATGCACCCAAGAGTCTACAACTTACACTGTTTCAGGCTAAATCCCACAGTCTGTTTAGCAGCAACACAACCCTAATAACAGATTGAACTGAAAGGGGACAGACTTCCAGACCTTTTCTTACTCCTACTTTGGTGAGGTCGAGGGGGAGAGAATGGGAGGCAGGGGAGAGCTTTATACAGAAGTCAAGGTGTGAATATGCTATAGATTTTTAGCGGTATATTGTTGTGTTCACTTCCTTTTCTCTATATCATGAAACTGTATTCTGTTAACCCAGTATCTTACTCTATTATCACTAATGAGCTCATAACTTCTCAGTTCGTATTATATACTGTCTACTTCTGCTGAGTTTAATCTGCAAATTTATTGTCTAATCACTCAGTCCTATAAAGTCTTTCTGCAAATGTTTGTGGTTGTAATAATAATGGCCAACTCAAATTTTATGAGCTAATTTTCAGGTCATTATGAATGGATGTAACAAAGAGCACAGATATCTGTGAAACAGCACCAGCCAGCATATTGTAGTGAGTAAGAACTGACTGTTCATCCTACCTTCTGCTTACTATCTTTACCAGCTACTGTCCATGAAAGGATTTTTTTGTCTCACATGTGACCACTTAACTTCCTTGAAAGCTTTTATTTTTTTTGTTGCAATACTTCTGGGCGTTCCCACAAACTGCATCAGCTACATAATGTCTGTTTGTTGCTTTCCTTAGGGAATTGTACTAGTTCTGTGAGTTGGGACTTCCCTCTGTCAAGCTGCTTTTTTTCTTCTCCAATGTTTCTTCCCTTTGTTTCTTCTTCTAAGTTATGTAACACTCATCTGATGCTACTTTTTTCTCTTAACTTCCTTGATAAAGACAAGGCTTACAGGTTTACTGTTGGGATCTTTCCTGAAGTTCCTTTAGAAGTTGCATCACGAGTGTCTCTCTTCTCTTCAGTGCCAAAATAGTGTACCTTCAGTTTCATTTCAAGAGAGTGATTGTATGTCATTGTTACTGTGTTGGGTATTTCAACCATATCAAAACATGCCCCACTACATTATTTCTGGTTCCCCTGTCCTCTGTTCCATGACTTCTTCAGCTTTTTCAAATTTCAGACAGACCTTGGGAGTCTCCAAGGCTTAAAGCTTCAGTTTTCTACAAGGGTGAGAAGGTATATCAGAATAGTTGCAAAGAAATCACTGTTCTGTGTGTATTTTCCAGATGATCCTTCTCTTTTGGTCCTATGTATTCTTCTCTTGTGTTTTGAAGAAAGAAGAGAGAACATTTTTGTTAATTATTCTATCTGTAAATTGTGAGGGGGTGGTGGTGTCTCCTTTGCTTTGCCTTACTTTCATAAATTAACAACCCTACACAGTCATGACCATTTGAGTACCACATCAACTTTGTGATGGCTGCCACCTTGTTTCCAGTACTTTCATAGTTCTTCTTGTTTTCTTTTGCTCTTTCAAGCATTTCTTACTACCTGCTATGGTGTCTTTACTTTCTCTGTTTGCTGCCTGTAAGGATCTGATCCCTCTTAGTGCTAACTTTGCATCTCTTTAGCATCCTCACTTCTATTTTACCATCTTCTTTTGAGGCTGAACACAGCTGTGATGGAGTTCTTGGCCCTTGTTGCTGTGACAGACATGTTGAGTTTTAATATGCTAAGGTCCTGTTAGAGAGGGTCTTCAGCAGTAAGATTTTTGAACATGTGCATGCCACATCAGATTAAATTGAGGGCTGCATCCTTCCCTGCCACCATCAGTTGATCTGTGAAATGGGCATCGGGTACATGTTGCAAAATCAAAGTAATTTTGAGTTGGAAGGAACCTATGGAAGTCATCTAGCCCAACCCATTGCAGGCCCAGCTTACATCATCTTGCTCAGGATTTGTGCAGTTGAGTTTTGGATAAACACTTCTGATCCCTTCTGGTAACTTGTTACAGTCCTTGATTACCCTCATTGTGTAACTTCTTTCCCAATCTAATTGGAAGTAATCTTGCAACTTCTGTCTCTTGCCTCTTGTCCTGCCAGCATGGGCCTCAGAGAATCTGTGTTCCCTTCAGGTAGCTGAACTCAGCAGTGCTGTTGATAGTCTCCAACAGCAACAATATACCTGGGGTAACTCAAGCTTTCTGGCACTATCTTCTGTTCCTTTAGCCCTTTTAATGTCTCTTAACATGTAGTTGTTTAGTATATAGATACAAATAAACTAAATAACTGCAGTATGCCCATGGATAGCAAGTCATACTTGTGAAACATGGTTGGCAGTATTCATATTAGCTCATCAAACTGTAACATTAAGTTTTAGTTTGATTCAAAGTGTTAACAAATATACAGTGGAAGTGGGCAGACAACTTATTTGAATTAGTCTTTCATTTTCTCTTGAAAGTGGAGGGCTGGAATAGGTATGAAAGCATTTTAATTCTAGGCTCACAGTCTTACTTCAGCAACTTTCTGGCTGAACCATATTAAACTTCAGAATTGCCTCGTGCAGCTTGAAACCTGGAAGGACAAAATGGACTAATTGTAATGTATGAGGGGGAGTGTTCTGACTTTTAGTTACTTAAAAATATCTGTTGCATTAATGTTAGTTGAATATACCAACTCAACTTTCTTGCTTAATGATATAACCTACTGTTGAACTCTTTAGAAAACTTTCATGAGAACTGCATTTCTTTACCCTGGATTTCAGTTGGTTAAATCTTAACTTCTTTTCAAATTTGGTCTTTGTAGAGTAAGTCCACTTCAAGCTTTAAAAAAAGTCTTCATGTTTGTAGTCTGAGTAAATTCTTCAGACAGTTGCCTTTTGTGTAGTTTTCATGGGACATAACTTAAAATAGATGGGATGAAGTAGTAAAAAGTGGAACTTTGTAAGTTACATTAGTGAAGGTATAAAAGTGCAAAAGATGCAAAAAATAATGAGAAGGACTGAGTAAGAAGGAAATCAGTAATAGTAATGTATAAAAGTGCAAAAGATGCAAAAAATAACGAGAAGGACTGACTAAGAAGGAAATCAGTAATAGTAATGCCATGAGCCTTTAAAAAGAAGGTATAGCTTGATGCATATTGTTTTAGATCTATTCCCTCTCTTAAGCATTTATATGAAATAACTTGTCTTGATTAGTGTGCTTTGCATCAATTTCAGAAGGAAATCAGTCTGTGTTTTGCTCTCAACCTGAGTATTCACACAGTTTTACTTCTCACAACTTTTCTATGCTACTAAGTCCATAACCAGTAGCATTTAGGTGAACATACACTGCAAGTTTCTTGTATCACTAAAAGCTTCAATTCTGAAATGACTTCTTCATTAGCTGAAAACTCCAGGGAGACAAATTAATGCCTGTATTAGTACTATAATGTCCCTTACCATGGGTAAGGTAAATGTTTCTTAATATCATGCTCTTAGCTTTCCTGCATAAATATATAATGACATTTGTCTTTTGTCCTTGTTTAACTGTTCAGTACTGAACATCTTAGTACACCTTTTAATATTAAAACCAGATTTGAGTGGATATGTATCTGGTTCCAAAATAATATAAACTGAATATAAGTCAGTACAGCACTTGTATGACCTCTTGCCGCAACACCAGTAAAACAAAACCAGATCTTTTTAAATGGAACAATTTACTAACTGAATAATAAAGTCTACTAATGCTCAGAGGAAGGTAAGATGACTAACTATTGGTAAGATCTTACTGTTGACACCTGAGCTGCTGAGTGTGCTGCTGTGTTTTGAGGCCTGGCCAGGCTGGTTGAAAACAGGCACAGAGGCTGGCTGAGAGGTGATCTCTGAGGTCATCCATTGTGCTGTGGCATGGGACAGAGCAGACTGGGCAAGGGCATGAAATTAAGCTTATAACTTATACCTTGTGTTCTTGAGGTATTTATCCTTTTTGCTCTGCCTAAAAAGACTTTAAAAACCCCCAACTCTGCATAAAAGACTAATCCTTTTTGCTCTGCCTAAAAAGACTTAAAAAAAACCCAACTCTGCATAAAAGACTTGAAAGAGTATTTTTAATTCCTGCCACCCTCCCTTTAAAGAGAGGGTGCTTCCCTGCCCCCCTTCTGGTGCCATTACACCTGCAGACTCTTTTGTGCTGGTGATAACACTAATAGATGTTCAACCTGGTATCTTTTAGATCTTACTGGCTTTTTCATCTCTCTCAGACATATTTAGGAAAACAGCATTAGCTTTCAAAAAGCCTAGTGGTGTCTCAGAATGGGAAACTATTGTTGACTTCGG